GGAGGAAACATTTCTTTGTGAAATTTTAAGTTGCGATTTTAAACAGTATAATTACAAATTTTTCATGGCATATTGCGTATTAACTTGTATTTCTTCGACAAGCAGATAAAGGTTCGTCGTAAACGAGACCGTTCGTCAATTTGAAGCATCCGTTCAACAAATCGTTCAACAACTTTCGTAAATTAAGAAAGATTTTTGCAGTACTGTCTCTTTCCCCTCCTGCTCCCCTTGGTCCACCCACCCACGCTTAGCCCCTTGGCAGTACCACCATACGCGCGATTGTTTTCCCCGTGAGAATGCTCGCCCGCACCTCCCCGCAGGGAAACACATTCGTGATCAGACTGGCGGACCGGAAAATTGCAGGAGAGCCGAGCCAAGCCGGCGTGGGCTGAGCGGTGCCGAAGCCCTCCGGAACGCGGTCCAAATACCGGGGACTGGGTTGAAGTTGGCCCATGGTGCGTTAGTTGACAAAACAGAATGGCACTGGCCCCTGGCCCTTTGCTGTGGTATTCTTATTAGCCCATCGGAAGTTTAAAGGATTTCTTCGCTGATCTACCAGCTATTGCATGCACAACTCAACTTTAAATCGGTGAACACTCCTCCTACAATGGAATTATAAACATATATACATTCTAATTTTTACATTGGTTGCTGTGCGTGCACCACGCCGTAAGATCTTTCTACTATTTACTTTAATAACTTTCTTGGTGTTACTTTGATGGATGCCAAAAATGTTTGATGCAAAGACGACACACATAGATTGGCATTCTTGTAAGAAACGTCATTGATGTTTGTTACTTGGCATTAAAAAACTGGCCAAAAATTGGCATCCCTGAGATGAATGTCAAAATGTTGCATTCAAAGGTGCCAAAGTTTGGCATTCAAAAAGAATGATGCCAAAATATTGGCTTGCGAAGAGGCCACAGAGTTTACAGTGTTGCGGTTGTTTTGTGGGGGGGGGGGGGTTGCTTTCTCTCTCTCTCCCTTCCTCTCCCTCTCTTTCTCATTCGATCGGGGCACACACGCACGCGGCCGCGCCCAGTGTTTCTTTTCATCCCTCCCGGAATGAGGCTCAAGAGTGAACAGGTGTACCTGCCGCCGCTGCGGGGCGCGGCCAGGGCAGAGGCGGGGGAGGAAAAAGGAAAAGGGAAGGGAAAGGAGAAGAAGAAGAATTGCGTCTCGTAGCGAGTCGGACAGAAAGCCATTCAGGAGTAGTAGAGAGGCGAAGAGGAATGAGTAACGAAACGAAAAGAGTAGTTGCCAAAAGGGAAAAGGGGGTTAGGGGAAGGAAGAGGGGAGGAGGAGGCAAGGGGTTGCGTGCGTGAGAGGGCGGGAGCGAGAGCGAGGTGGTGGTGACTAGGCAGGTGAGGCGAGGGAGTGAGATGGATTGACCCGTGAGCGAGTTGGACAAGGAAGAAGCGCCGTGAGGAGGCGTGGCGGCGCGGCTTGTTTACCCCTTTAGTGATAGCGCGCGGGCACGAATTTTCGGTTTCTTTTTCATCTTTTTTTTCTAAGAGTCGCTGGCCCCCGCGTTCGCGCTGCCCTGGAGCCGCCGTCCTGCACGGAAATGAAATGGGAAATTGGACTTTTAGGGGTTGAAAAATGAAGTAGAGCAAAAGAAAGAATTCGGAATGAATCTTGGCCAGGTTCAACACTTTTGGCCCTGTTGGCTCTGCTGGGGGGGTTGAACCCCCCTCCTTACCGCCGGCCGCGTCTTTGGGGCGCGTGGCCAGAGACAAGGGACGTGACAGAAATATGATCAAGTCTCGTGGCGAGCGGTCGCCGCCGCCGCGGCTGCTGCTGTCTCCGGAAATGTCCGGACATCCGGGAGCGCAGCAGTTGACCTCTGCCCCCACCCCCTCCTCTCTCCCCAATCCTTTGCCTCAAGGAGCTCTATCAACAACCACTGCCCCCCTCCCTTTCCCCCCGTGCGACTCTTGTGATTTCCGCTTGTGGGGTCGCAACAGATTGTCACAGCGTGAAGAGAGAGGCAAAAAGGATAACGAAATAAAATCGTGACAAGCCTGGCGGCCGCCCTTTAATCTTATCATCGTAATTCTCTTTATTGTTTATTTTTCCCGTGCGTTTCGGGCCTTCCCCCTTCGCTTTTGAGTAGCGAGTGGGCCGGTGGGCGGGGTGGTCAGCTGCCTTGTATGCACGTCCAGCTCTCGGCCGGGCTCTCAGCCCCCCCCCCTCTCCCCTTTCGTTTTCCTTCCCCCTCACCCCTCCGGGGAGTTGAACAGCCCGGCGGCGGCTTGCTCCGGCAGGGCGTGTAGGAAATGAGGGGTGCACACACCAACTTTCAACTTTTCATATCTCTTTCCAAAATTTTATGACTTTTTGCACTCAGTCTTTCTTTCTGTCCAAACTTCAAAATGCTAACAAACTAAAATTCTTTTACAACTCTGCAAAGAAGTCTCAGTCTTTGTATTGAATCAAAAATTTCGTTCTTCTTCCCGAAGCAGTTTTTCCCAAGCTCAATGAAAAGTGGCCCTTACAATTAATTGGTTTGCGTTATCCCAAAGCTTATGAAGAATAAGTTTACAATACAGTGCCTAAAAAATGTTTGTAAGCTGCAATAAGTTCGCATCACGAACCTTTTTTTCTTAAGCATCTTGTGGTGCTCGACAATTTTCCTTCTCATTTTTTGGAGAAGGCGGGACGGCCGCCCCCGTACGCATGGGGGGATGAAGCTATGGTCTTTCTGTGTTCTGTGTTTCGTCTCGTCTAGACTGATGAAATCTTTCTTCAAATTAAACACCGGCTCCCAGCTGCTCCTGCTGTTGGTCGTGGTTCCGCAGAAACAAATTAACAGCCCCAGAAAGGACCTGGTTGGGTCAGGTTCGCGGGCTACGTGCTGTGCCGGGCCGGCTGGCGCGTCTCCCACGCTGTGCCGCTCTCTCATGGAGATGGTCGCACCCCGCCGCCGTCTCGTCCAGAACAAACACGAAAAAGACAATCCATTCTCCTTGCGGGCGCGTGTGTTTTAAGAGACGGGCGGTGTCCACCTTTGTGGCCCTCTCCCCCTTCCACTCTCCTCCTGCCTCGTCTCTTTTTCAAACTCTCCTTCCCCTTTGCTTTCCGGCCCTTGTTCTTCCTATAACAACCTTCCCTTATTTTCCGACTCTTTAGGATTATTTTTTTTTAACATTTTGTGGCGACGTGACGCTATACCGCACCTTTTCTGATTACATCATCTAAGATTCGGACGTTT